TTGATGGAGGGTGATTTGGCCCGACCTCGTGGCATGGGGACACGTGGACATGACCTGGCATAAGTGACAACTCAGCGTGACAGCTTGGCCATAACTCGGCGTACCGAACTCGCTGGAGCCCGGCCGGACAGCTCGGTGGACGAGGCAACTCGCCGGGAAATAACATCCAATTCACCCCGAATTCTCTCAAGGGTGGAGCGAAACCAAGCTCCCCCCTCAGCGAGGGGACCCGAGCTCCTCTTAAAACCCGAGCTCCTCCCATTGAGCCCCAAGCTCTTCCTAGAAAGGGAACACCTCGACCTATGGCTAAGTATCCTGAAGTGGAAACACTTCGGGTTAGCACCATTAACATTCCTGTCCATACTTGCCTAAGGCCCGCCTCAAGCATAAGCACCTCGGCGCACCCCTAGCACCTCAGTGTAAGGTAGCTCGGTGCAAAGTAGCTCGACAACCTGCAGGAAAGATCTGCCTAACAACAGTACCTGCCGAATCTGGAGGCTGCGTCCACGTCTCTCGTCAGGCGTCATCGTGCCTGCCATTTCTAAAAGATGTGGCACGCCTGACAGGTCCGTACCCTGCAACGACTGCCTGCACCCGCCAATATAAAAGGACCCCGATCCCCAAGGAGCAAAGCTACGAACTTGCGCCATCTGCACTCTTAGCTCACTCTTTGCATTCTCTACAGTTCTCTCATAGTTCTAACTTAATCATTGGAGTGTTCCCGCCGGGCGAGCTCCCCGGGAATTCTTCACCTCCCTCTTCTTCTCAAGTACCGTCCGACGCCAGCTAGGAGTGTTCGGATCCCACTGCATCAGGTATTTTTATGAAAGTAGTCCGTATTCTTGTCTCCTTGTTACAGCCACACCTATCTGGATTTTTGTCTCCAAAAACTTTCCACTTGGGCTTTAAACTAGTTATACAAATAATTTATCTTGTTACTATCTCAATGAATTGAATGTTATGTCAAAATGATTTGCTCCTCTAAGGTTTTGAGTTTACTTTGAGGATCTTTGAAAGTTGCTTTGTTCCATTGAATAAGATATTTTTTACTCAATTCAATTTCAAAGGTATTTTATAAGTTGCATTCCCATTAATCTTAAGACTCCAAGTATCCTCGGTTACCTTTCTATAGGATTGCTTAAACATCCACATCTCATAGAAGCGAAAAGGTTTTGGAAATTGGTGTTTTCTTGAATTAGTCTCTAACAAAATAGGGTGATGATCTGAACCCATTAGGAGGTCAAGGAAAGAGTAGCATTTGGAAAGTAAGTAATCCAATTAGGAGAGGTTAAGGCTCTATTTAAGGTTCTAATATAACAAGCTCCTAATATTCTTTTATTTGACCAAGTTAGATCTCCACCACTAATACCAAGTTCTAGTAAATTAAGATAAAAAAACAAGATTATAGTATTGGCAAGAGGTGCTTTTAGAATGGATATTTGAAGAGCTTCGGTCTTGAACTTCCACTGTAGCAACTTCATTAAAGTCTCCAAGTTTTAAGTTTGGCCTTGAATTTGTTTTAGTAGGTTTTAATTAATGGGCTATAAATAAAGTCGATAATCCAATCTTCTAAAGGGATGGAAGAAAAGATTTGAAGAAAAAAATACCTTGTACTTACCACACACCTGCACTCCAAATTTCTAGAAATCTGCTAATTCTCCTGCTTAGCCTTTAAGAAGGATTACGTAGGAGTTTGAATATTTTAAATGATTAGATAATTTATATGTTTTTTTTTTTTTCATTTGGGATTTTGGTTTCACAAAGGAAGATGAAATCATGATTATATCTTTGAACCAAATCCCTAAGACCTTGAATTGGCTTGGGATGAATCACCCCACGACTTCTCCAACTTAGAATTAACACTGGTGGTGGCATGTCTTTTGAGGGCCAGCCACCAACATACTTAAGAATAAAAAAGACGTAGAAAATAGAAAGAAATTACTTATAAGAGAGGTCTGCTCATCTGGTTGATTCAATGTTCCACCCAAACTATTAGATTTTTCATTTTTTTCCAGATTTTCAGTGGGTTCAACTGAAGTGTGGTCTAAAAGGATGACCTTATCTATAGGAGGATAGGTTGACGAAGACTCTGGACGATCAAATATGGGATGGTTAGGTCTATCATCCTCAATTTCCAACGCAGATGGAAAGTCCAATCGATGTCTCTTACCATGAACAAAAGTTGATGAGCTAGGAGTATCTTGAGAGAATAGTTGGCTTAGGTGTGGGTGGTGAGACGATACGTCTTTGGAGAAACTTTGATAGAAGTGTAGAGGGTGAGGCATAGGCTCTTACCGATCAGACTAAGGGGACATGATTAAAGCGATAGTATCATCAAAGGGGTTTTTGGGATGAGGGTGACCTTGGGCCTTAGGTTGGTCAGGGATGTGAACAAGCTCTTGAAACAATGTGTATTGCCAAATACAACGCATGTTGAGTTCCACTCTGAGCCATGGTCCCGTAAGGTTCATATTTTGACAGTTGGAGAATTGGTCGAACAATTGATCGTTTGTATGAGGATGAGGCTGAGGACAATGCTGGAAGAGATGACCGGCTTTTCCACACAGATAACAAATCCATGTGAGATCTTCATAACAAAAAAGTGACTCAATTTTGAACACTAAAAAAATAATCCGTTTTGAGAGGTTCTTTGATTGAAATGAGAACTTTAGCTTTGATATAGTTTTGAACTACCCAGAAGGAATGCACTGATCCTATTCCTCAATAAGAATTTCAAAAGGAAGATCATGTAGTTGGACCCGGATTTTAATTTAATGCAAATTTCATTCATATTGAGGTTTCCTAGGTAAAGGTTTAAGGATAATCCACTGGCCATTGAGTTGCCAAGGTCCATTGTCTATTACACGTATGAAGCCACTTGCATATCTAAGGTGGAAACGAAAATGACCTTGTTGAAAAGGAGCAATGAGAAGTCTATTGAGATTTAGATGCCAAAGGCTATAAAGGCCTTGCTCCAACTCTACAAATTGATCAGTTAAACGAGGGAAGAACCTACAAATGAAAACCGGCATTTCTCATAAAGATTAGGAGGGATATGAGATTGGATATTTATCACTTGTACTACTGCTTGATTATCATTGTGAAGCTTGCTTTAAAAAGCTTTGTTAAAGGCGTTAAGGTCATCCATGGAAGAGAATCAAAGAAGAGCAAAATAAAGATAGGAAGATGAAGGAACTGAGAAGAGTAGTGATGGTAGGAGAAAGGGCAGCGAGAAGGAAAGTAATAGCTTTTCAGTTTCGATCAGGAGAGCAAATTTTTTGATACCCTCGCCGGAGCCAGGTGGCAAGGAAAACTCCAATAACAAGACAAGACAATAAGAAAAGAAAAGACAGCCCCAACTAAACAAAGTGGATTGTCAGTCATCATGCACAACTAAATCAAGAAGCACACAGTACTTCAGTTACTTCCCTCTAAGAAAATGGACTCACTAATCTCCACGGGTTGTCAATTGGACTGGATTTGGTCCAATCTGATCCAGTCTCACTAATCTCCACGGGGTCCAATCTAAAATCGGTCTATTGACAACTCTTACTAATCTCCACAAGAGAATGTGCTGAAATTATTTTCCCGCAACCTTTTCACATAGCTTGGTTTCGTGTTTTTTGTGATAACATTCCCAATCCAAAGAATTTCCCTTTTGAAAAATGGTACAAAATTGACTTTCACACCCTCAAAAAGCAAAATACCAGTTTTAAAACATTCATTTTCCCAAGGCTTAGTTTGAATTTTGGAAAAAGTATAAATACAAATATATATGCAAAATACAAGGTTTTACTATCCCTCCAAACTGAGCCTAAAAAACGAGAAATATAGTAAAAATAAATTATTTAAAATCTTTTTCTAAGAGCCTATGATTTTTTTATCCACCAACTCAGTAGACAACTTGAATTAATTAATAACAGTGCATTACCAAGGTAAATATGCATAGGAGCTGAGTTGGGACCGAGTCAAAATGCCATTTTGAACAAAGAGGTGCTGAAGCTGAACTGCTGGTCAGCCCGGATGAAAAGTCAAAACCGCGACTCAGCATCGGAGAGATGAATGAAAACGAAAACATAGACAAAAGGACAACCGATACCCTGTCCGTCACTCGGTTGACACTCGTCTCTCCATAAAGGTGTGTAGGATCCAGAACATTCCGAACCGATGGCCTTTATATACTACAACTTAAAAAGGCAACCTCACATGAATTCCCTCCTTTTCGAATCAACGGCCTGGATTGGGTGCACCCACTTTGTGGGCCCCACAGGCTTCATCACCTGTTCAGCGGTTCTTGCCATCGAACAGGCGATCAACGATTGAACGGCAGCAATCAAGTCCCACGGGTCCCACTTGATGGAGATTAGCTGCATTATACGATGATTCCACGCCATCACCAACTGGGACAAGGTGTGGCGTTTGGATAGAGATGATGGGAGGCACGACCACTAGACAAGATGTGGCGTTTCTCATGTATGTAGTATGACCAAAATAATCTTGACCATTCGATGGCGATCAAAACCGGGCACCAGGGGACCACGGTGGGCCCCATATGCTGCGTGTCTAGTACATGGAGATAGCTGTACTCTAGATTTCCCCACGTTAACTAAAACTATCTAAAGCATTTAATAGAAGGGAATTATCACCTGTGACCAATGACATAGGATACTACTTCATAATAGCTTCCAGACACAGAACCGGTGTTGGAGTCCCCATTTGAGGAGACCGGATCTGCTCCTCACACATGGCGCCTCACAGGAGCCTCATACGCACATCCTAGGAGCATCTCACGTTTTAATTATTATTCGCGGGATATATTCTCAATGCACGGTGGATGTGACTGTGAGCCGCCCATTTGTGAGGAGCAGATCCCGCTTCCCATTTGAGAATGAGGAGGGGAACCGGTAACCACGGTTATTAATGGAAGCCGGTGTACTGGCTCAGCCGGTAACATAAATTTTTCATTTCCGCCGTCGCTCATCTCATCTGACGGCGTTCTACGGATTCGTCGGAGTTGTGGGTCGTACACATCACCACCGGATCATTAAGGTAAGAGAGGAGAGAGAAAAAAAAAGAGAAGTGGAAGGAGAGACGGGCATTCGCTGTCTTGGCCCTGAGCTGCTTTTGTGATTTTCTTCTCCCCTCCCTCTCCCCCGAAGGCCCCAACCCGGTTTCTATTCCTCTCGACCGTTTCGAGGAATCAGAAAGAGAAAAGATAGAAGTGAGAGAGAGAAAACCTAAATTTAATTTTCTCCGGAGGTCTTCGGGTTTCGAATTATCGGGATTTCGATTTGTTCTCGGGCAATCGGTAATCCAGGAGAGGGTTTCATTGCCCTTTATTGATGATCTCGTGGGCTTGAATCGGCGAAGGTGGGGCTGAATTGTGCGGTTATTCGATATGTGGATGGGACAAAGAAGAAATGCTAATCTTGCAGAATCGTAGCTCCGATCTCTGGAACGTGGAAGGCAGCAGCACCGAAGGCCGGACGTAATGGAGGTCGATTCGTCGATGATGCCGGAGTCCGATCAAGATCATGGGCAGAATCACGACCCTGGAGCGATCTCGTCTATGGACAGTAGCAGGCATGGAGAGCAGCTCGGTGGAGGAGAGCAATCTGCGTCTTCGGTGACTCCAACGTCGCAGCCGCAGCAGGCTCAGGTACAGCAGCCGCAAGCTCAGCCCCAGCAGCAGCCGCCTCAGGTGCAGCAAGCTCCGGTCGCCGGGCCGAGGCCGGCGCCCACGTACTCTGTCGTTGAAGCGAACATAGAGAAGAAAGAGGATGGGCCGGGGCCTAGATGCGGTCACACGTTGACCGCGGTTGCTGCCGTTGGGGAAGAAGGGACGGCTGGATATATCGGCCCTCGACTTATCTTGTTTGGTGGTGCCACTGCTCTAGAAGGCAACTCTGCGGCTTCTGGTCCACCGTCGTCTGCCGGAAGTGCTGGCATCCGTATGTCTATTGATCCATTTTGCCTTATCATTACCATATTTCTTACTATTATTGTTTTCCCGCCCTGAATTTCGGTTCGCTTACCGCTTCTCTAGTTTATGTAATAGAACCCTAATCTTACCTTAACTGAGTAATTTCACGTTTAAGTTTCACAGATAGAGATCATGTTCCAATGTAGTTGAATTCATTACACCCACAAACTTTGGCTTATCCACAACTCAGCTTCCTATAAGAACTAGAGTTTATGCTAGTAAAAAAAATTGTTCTAAAGCCCTTTTGTGACAACAGATTTCCTGGATTGCAGGACTAGCAGGTGCCACTGCTGATGTTCACTGTTATGATGTTAATTCAAATAAATGGTCTAGGTATGTTTCAGAGTGTTACTTTTTATCTTATCAAGTTGCAAAACATTGTGGATGTTTGAAATGTCTAAAATAGTTATAATGCGGCTGACTGCTTTGCTTCTTTATGAGCTTCTTTGCAGGCTTACTCCTCTTGGAGAACCACCCTCGCCGAGGGCAGCACATGTGGCAACTGCTGTGGGTACAATGGTAGTTATTCAGGTTGGTGTAAAACTAAATATCTACTGATATGCATATATTGGTTAATGTAATTAAAATCCTTTATTTCTACTGACAGATTAATACTCATCTATATACTCTCTTTTCCCCTCTTTAACAATGATTTGAGTCAGGGAGGAATTGGTCCTGCTGGGCTGTCTGCAGAGGATCTGCATGTTCTAGACCTTACACAACAACGACCAAGATGGCACAGGTTTTTTACATAGGACTGATTTCATATTTCGTTTAATTTAGGTGTTTTTTATTTGTTAAAAATGAAATTCATTTTTCTTAGGGTTGTCGTCCAAGGCCCTGGTCCAGGGCCACGTTATGGTCATGTGATGGCTCTTGTTGGGCAAAGGTTTCTTTTGGCAATTGGTGGAAATGATGGTAAGCTACTATGTTCTTTTAGCGCAGACAATTCCCACCTCTTGGTCACTGAATAATTGTTTTATTATCTCTTGTTGCTCATTATATAAAAGGTGGCAAAATTTTGGTACTAATACAATACAATTGATACTTGCAAAAAAAAGCTGGTAAAATTTTTGGTGCGTGTTAAACAGGGAAGCGACCTTTAGCTGATGTATGGGCCCTAGACACTGCTGCGAAGCCTTATGAATGGCGCAAATTGGAGCCAGAAGGGGAAGGTCCACCTCCATGCATGTAAGTTTTTTTATCAGATTCTATAAGATCTGATTGCATGTAATTGTGAAAACATTGTGCATCATCTAAGCTTTGTCTCAACTATATGGGGTCGGTTACATGAATCCTGTTTCTCCATTCTGTTCTGTTCAATGCCATACCCATTGTTAAATTATGGGCACTTAAACCCTTTTTGTTGGTAATAAATAAAATAAATTACTAAGAGAAAAGGAAGAAGGATACAAGGATATGGGGTCAGCTACGTGAATCCTGTTTTGCCAATTCATTCTATTTAAAGCCATATCCACAGTTAAATCTGGAGGTGATAAGATATCACCCTCAAAAAAAGAAAAGACAACCCCTTAAACCAAACTCACACCCAACTCACACGTCCAAACATAGTGATAGTGTGACACAAATCAAATTGACAGCTGCCACCCAAACCTGACTAATAGAGAAAAACAAACACCATGAGAAGAGCTCAACACGCCATTAACAAAATGCCACTACAAACCCACATCACTAACTCCATGCTCCCAACAACTGGAAAAACCAACAACATTAAACTCCAACTGAACTCCTTTCAAGATTTGCTTAAATGCTTGACTGCTTCAGACTCTTGACTAGGAATTTCTTTGCTCCTCTTACTATTTCCACCAAAGTCCCTTTAGGTCTGCCCTAATTCTTCTAGCCCCTTCAACTTGTAATAGACCACTTCTTTTAATGGGTGCTGTAGATGGTCTTTTATGCATGTGACCAAGCTATCCCAATCTACTTTATCTCATTTTATCACATATATATTTTGATCAGCAACTCAAGAAAATTTTATTAAGATTAAAGAACAAAAAGGTACAACAAGAAGTTGTTGGGTCGAAGTCCCTTTACAGCAAAGATCCCCCCCCCC